TCACCCAATCAACTCTAAAAAAGATTGGTGATAATCCGCAATTAGAGGTAGGCAGTTGGCATTGGAATCAAAAATTTAACCGAAAAAAAAGTTTACGTTACAAGTTCAACCGAAGTTTGCATTTTGCAAATAATTAATTGAAAACTGAGTGTTGCTGTTTGTTTTGCTTTAGTTGTCTTTCGATATGTTTCATGCTGAAATTTTTTTTTAATTGTTAATAATCACCCTTACAATATTATAAAAGAAAAACTGAAATAAAATTTTGTTTAGCATATAATTAACTTTAAAATGACTTTTATTTACGATTTTGCAAAGTATTATGAAGTCACTGCGACACAGAACAGTTAAAATTCTTTCGAGTTTACAGGAATATGCAAGTTCAAATGTATCATACCTGAATCGGCTGCAAGGGCCGTTTGTAGCGAACCGTCGCTTCCTTTTGTGCCAAATCTTAAGTTTTGTGTGATTTGGACGTCTCTATCCTTATTTTTTTTTTCTCTTTTTATTTTTTTCTGTCGAGAACTTGGTGTGGTTGGTACAGCAAGAGGCACAGGGACAGACAAATTTGACTTATCTTCTTTCGACGCACAGTGGTTGTCATTTTCATCAGAATCCGATACAATGTCAATGACAACTGAGGCTTCGTTTATCTTCTCAGTACTAACATCGGTCAAGTTGAAAACGGAGTTCAACGACTGCTCGACGATGAGCGCCTGAGGAGATCCCTTGTGCCTACCTATAGTAGGCTGCGATTGTCGCCGCTCCTTACGATTGTGCACTGACGTCGTAGAGTTGTTTTCATCGCGCTCGCAGTTATACAGAAGATTTGAGAAGTTTTTGTGAAGCTGGGTGTGGACACCTAAGGGCGGAGGCTCGGAAGGATCGGCATTTGAATGCACGTCAGAAAAATGTTGCTGCGATGGCAGTGATTGGGAGAACGGAAAATGTCCTACTGACTCGCTTAAGTGGCTGTCTGGTTCTGTTGCGGTGGACTTCACAAAATCTGACGATGGCTGAGTGGGCAGGGAAGGGACTTGACTGGGATGTTGCATATTTTCAGTAGCCGGTTGCTGAATTCCCACCATTTCTCGCCACTTTTTCAGCAAGGATTTTGCACGTCGAGCAAGGTGCTCATTCTTGGTCCTTCGTCTGAGTTGATTTATGTATTTGGCCAGTCTGGTGGCCTCCAGCTGCTCCTTGGTAATTGTTGTGCCTTCCAATGCACATATAACAGAAAGCACTGCATCCATATTGACGACCTGAAAACATCGTTCAGATATGAACCAATTTAAGTGTACATGGACATGGTATTGTCTTACATCGTAGTTCTGATCAAGTGCCTGAGATAGGTGAGTGGTAAGTTGTTGGATTTGGTTTTGGTTCATTTATGTCTTCCGTATTGCAAAGCCCCTGATCCAGATCCAAGAAACGGCGAGTACTAACCAAATTGTTAACATGAAATAAAGTGTACATATGTTGTGAAAGCTAGATTTTTTTTTTGTATTTTTGTGTGGTTTTTCGAATTACAATTTTTGGAAATATCTAAACTATATTGACGAGAAAAAGACACAACGAACCGGTCTTTTCAAGTGTTTAAGATTGAAAAATTATAATGAAATTATTGTACGCAAAGAATGTCTGAAAAACACGCACACAAATGCACGACATATCATGGCTAAACATTATGCTTACAAATAATAGGTACACAACTTAATTATGAAATTTGTGTTTCCTCGGGGCACTTCCTTGAATACGGAAATGTTTATATTGGCCACAAAATTAAGAAAATTAATAAGTTATCATCAATTCCCCGACTCCATCACAATTCGCCATTTTCACCATTGACAGCTGCACTTGGATGAGAGCAAATCGATATGTATAGATATCGATATATTTTCACGTTTGGGAAGTTGTACAACCGATATTTAAGGCACGCTCACACTGCGATTGCATTTCGGGTAATAGCCTAGTCCCACAAAGCCCATCCAAGCGAAACGGTTGGGATATTTGATGGACGGTGTTCCCACAGAGCCACCATACACCATCAAAACAACACCATCACAGTCTATAAAAAGTCACAGTGACGAATGCAGAATTTTCTGACACTACTTAACTATTTCAGAAGTACTATTAACTATTCAGAAGTATAGGCTAATTGTTAAATGATTATCGGAACTCTTAAATAATGTCCTATATCGTATATGGTCCATAAGGTTTTGCTATTCCAAAAACTTCCCAGTTAGTCCGACGTTAAAATTTTAAGGACTTTGGCGGACTTATATATGCGATAGTTAACCGATGTTTCTGCGGTGCAGCCCTTTTCCACGCAGTCCATTCCTGAAAAAATGTTAGGATTTATAAAGAAAGGGGAACTACGGTTTTCACAGAGCACATCCACCTCCATCTTCCGATTTCACTTAATCTGTATATATATTAGACGAATCAGGCTATAAGATATGTCTACTAGCCTGACACGCAGAGCTTGAATACATCCAAATGGTCGGAATTCTATTTACAGCCATTTTTCAGGCTTTACCTCAATTATGCCTCATCTGGCTTTGACCATACCGTATATCGCTTACAGGAGCATCATAGTGCCAGCAATAGCCCAAAATCAAATAATATGGCTGACCTAGGACTAAGAACGAACGTCAATTCCGGTATGGATATAATCAAATAATAAAATTTAAGAACAAGAAAGACAAAAAACAGCTTGTCAAAGTCGAAGAGCATACACCCTTGCAGCTATTACATATTTAAATAATTCTATTAAACGTTATTATTTCGTATGTGTTTTTAAAACTTTGTTGAGAGGAGTTACGTGATATCGTAGTCAGATTTTTATTTAGTTAAAAACGTTATTTTAAATTAGTAAACTATCTCGGAAGTCATTTGGAAAAATTTAAAAACATCGAAGCTACAATGTGTTTCATAAAGTTTTCTTTTTTGTTCTCAATTGAGCTACATGATATAGTTGTCGTAACCGGCTGAATTTTAGTAAAATATAAGCAGTAGTTTTAAATCAGTTTTTTTTTAGTTTAAATACCCCTTTCAAAAAATTGTGCTTATAACCTTATGCCCTCTTTCTACACAGTCCATCCGTTGGAAACGGTTGGAATTATTGAAGAATGTGAAACTTCGATTTACACAGAGCACATCCTCATTCCAATAACAGCTGATCTAAACAGATGGGGCTCGTCAAAACATAAGCAAAGCCAACAGTTGAACCATCTTTGATTATGTTTTGATGAGCCACAGCTGTTCAGATCAGCTGAAATCGGAAGGAGGAAGGTGGGTGTGCTCTGTGAAACCGGAGCTTCACTTTTTTCAAAAATCCTAACGGTTTCTCAGAGATGGACTGCGTGGAAAGAGCGTTGCACAGCAGAAACATCGGCAAACTATCACATAAATTAGTCCGTCCAATTTTAACGGCGGGCTAACTGGGAAGTTTTTGGAACGGCAAAACCTTACGGACCATCCCTTTAACGGATGGTGGAAGGTGGATGGATCTCGGTGGAAATACGGTATAAATTGGTTTTATGAACGCCGAATGTAATTAAAAATCTATCGTATTCCAGTCAAATCGGAAAGCAACTTTGTAGTACCTAACTACCTTGACCGCTCAATATACAAATCCCATAGAACGATTAATGTGTTTGACAGATGTAATAGCCTAGTTACACTTACGCACGTCTCCTATCGATATCGGCGAAGAAAATCAAAACGAAAATTAATTTTATTTATATATCGACAGTAGAGCTGTAAAAACCTCGATAGTGACCCCACTCTATGTGAGCGGTGAAGATAAAATTTTTGGGCTCTTAAGCTATTGTAATAGTTGTATCTTAAGTCTAAACTTCATGGATTTGCGTTCTGCGCTTCAACACTCCGTCCATCTTAAAGGACCTTCCTTCAATCTACTGGGAGCACAGCCAGCTTCTGAATTGGACGCTTAAGGGGTATTCTGGTTTAGAAAGTTGAACAATTTTCTTTTTGCATATTTTGAATGTCTAGAAAGTTGAACAATTTTCTTTTTGCATTTTTTGAATGTTTGAACTTTTAAAAATATGATCCTAAAATGATTATTCAAAAATTGGAAATATTATCGGAGACACAGCCAATTCTGTGGCGTGGCGTCCGAGTTATTATAATTGTTTTCTAATCTTTAGTCGCGTTTTTCTCAAAACTTTGAGGTGGTTGACATGTCGTTTTATGTTCTACTGAACCGATTCCCTTAAAATTTGGTATATATCTTGTTTATACTACTTTCTTTCGCGTCTGGCTCGGACCTGAAATATTTGGATAATAAGTATTTTTTAATTATTTGAAAAGGTAATTGCCTAAGAAAGAATTGACTACCGTTTTGTTATTTTTAGTTTTTTTAAGTGCTCAACCCGATAACGGCATCTTGACTAATGAAGAATTTGTTTTATTTGTTTTCCGATCTCTACAAAAGCTGAAATTATGTCAACCAGGACTCACCGTTTTTTTTTTTTTAAAACCTCACTTCAGCGTCATTTATCTCGGCAAATATTGTGGTGTTCTAACGACCCCCATCATTCATTCGCTTTTATAATTAGTAGTGCTAAAAAAGTAGAAAACTTACTTAAATAAATGAATCAAAATACTAATGATTTACCGATGATTTTGGGTGCTATTTTGCTGATGATTGGTGTTGATTTGACTCAATGATGAATGCCTATGACATGCCTATACTAAAATCATTACTATTTTGCATGCGAAATCCTCACCTTTTTATCAGTAGTGATGGTTTTTTGATGAAGAATCATCAGTAAAAACGTAATGAACGGTTCTGCAGGGCAGCCATTAGCAGAGTTTGGGCACACTCGGGCTTAGGCCAACTCGGCAGAGCAGCAGCAGAGCAAATTACTCACACAAAGAAGTGCGAGCATGTATATTGTCATACTATTAGTAAGTGTGCCGACCACTGGACTAGTACGGACTTGTTGATAATTATCCATCAGAAAAATACAATTCGATTGAAATAATTTTAAATTTATATTTCAGAGTATGCGCATTTTGATTTGATTGCATTGTTAAAGTTGAAAATTAATTATGTTAGCGGGAAATAATGTTGTGACTGATTGTACATTTTGACATTTTTTTCATATACAACACATTTTGTGAATTTTTGTTTATAAATTTTGTATTTAAGTTACATATATTACCAGCATCATTTACATACCGGCATATGAAATAGCGGCTTACTACAGGTATAGGAATACTATTAATTTATTTTAACAACATAGTAATGTGTTTACCAAGTATGCACACAAGTCATCCTATATCGAAAATAATCATGAAAATCTACGACTAAGTGAATATGTAGGTATATATACTTATGTATGTACTTATGTAATTTAGTGGCTTCTATTTAACTACGTTCGAGTATTTGGACGCATACAATTTTGACATTTATGGATCTATTTAAGTTTGTATATTTTACAAATATTAAACGATACTAACTACCTACATATTTGTGTACGCCTAAGCTGGGGTATATTTCTATTGCTACAGCATTGGTGCGTAAATGGCACAAAAATTGCAATGTTCCCAAGACCGAGTGTCTGGCGAACTATGGTTTCACAAATTAACTATGTTTATCTTTATATATACGTGTAATGGCACTTGAACTGAAACTTAAATGGCTAATCAAACAGTGACTATCCTAGCCGTTTGTATTTACAAAGCCGATTGTGTTTGTGTTATTCCTTTCATCTGGGCAGAGCTGGCACGTCTTTCCAGTGTGCAGTGTGCCCCTATCCCCTATCCCCTATCGCGTTCTTGGCTGCTCTTAGTCGTCACCCTAGTCGTCCATTTCGCGCTGAGACGCAAGCTCCAGTTCGTCGGAAGAAAAGCCCGAGGGCGATAAGCTCTCCGGAGGATAGAAGAATTGCTGGGAGGGTGGATGCCCACAGTCATTGCCGTGAGCCGTAGCGGCTGCCGCAGATGCCATGTCCTGCAGGTGGTAAACAGCTGCCGCGGCTGCAACCGCAGCCTGGGCATTGGATCCCCCGGAGTGTCCCTTGGGGCAGGTCTCTGCGCAGGCGCTTCCGGAGCCAGCGGTGACGCCGCCTGTGCGGCACCAGAGTTGCCTCATTTCTGCCCGCCGATTTCGCATCAGAACCTTGTACTCGGAAATCCTCATCTTTTTGCCGTCCACGATGCAGGTGCGCTTGGGGCGTGGTCTGTAGCGGTAGTCCGGGTGCTGTTCCATGTGAAGCTTCGAGAGCCTCGACTGTTCCTCGTAGTATGGCTGCTTGTCGGCATTGGACATTGCCTTCCAGCGAGCTCCGAGAATTTTCGATATATTCGAGTTGTGCATGTCAGGACATGCCTTCAAAATCTTCCTGCGCTCATCCTTTGCCCACACCATGAACGCATTCATCGGCCTCTTGATGTGCGGCTTGCTGTGCCCGTGCCCGTGTCCGTGTCCGTGTCCATGGCCATGGCCGTGTCCATGTCCGTGTCCGTGTCCATGTCCGTTGCCTTGCCTGAGGGGATGTGATGATGGCGACGCAGGAATCGGACCCAGTTGATCTGTGGTGACACTTTCCGGGTCCAACGCCGCCGATCGTTCAGAGTTCGTGCCACAACTATTTATTGAGTCGCGACTCATGCGCGTTGCCCGTGAGCCCCCAGAACCGACGGCTGCCGTATTCCACACTCTTCCCTGGAAAAAAATTAAAAACATAAATATGCTTACATTAGTAAAATTGTGAGTACACAAAATTAACATACGAGAATAGTTATTTCATTATTTTGCGATTTTTCATGCATTTCGTTTTTGCTTTCTTGAACAAGTTGGTACACAAGAAGAATTGTCTATCGTAAGACTAACCTTGCATAATTGTTACTTTACTATGTAACACATTTTAAATTACCTATTTTGCTGTTGCTTTTATAGTAAAAACTAGTACTTTAATAATCCCTATGAATTTTGCTATTGTTTCTCCAGGCCAAATTAAGAGTAAAAATATTATTAAAATTGTTAAAATCTTTAGTTTGTTGTTGCAATACCTACTATTGTTGTTTGTCACTATTTCCAAGTTAATAGTATCATAAAAACAAAAAGAGTAATAATTACATTTCAATTATACCCTTGCAGAGGGTACTATAATTTCAGTCAGAAGTTTGCAACGCACGGAAGGAGACATTTCCGACCCTATAAAGTATATATATTCTTGATCAGCATCACTAGGAGAGTCGATCTAGCCATGTCCGTCTGTCCGTCTGTCCGTCCGTTTCTACGCAAAACAAGTCTCTCAGACTTTAAGCTATCTGCATAAAACTTTCCAAAAATTTGTCTTTCTGCTGCAGGTATTATATAAGTCGGAACTAGCCGGATCGGACGACTGTAGCATATAGCTCCCATAGGAACAACCAGAAAATTAAAAATAAATAAATGAAACAAAATTGTTATTTCTCTAATTTTCAACTTTTGTTTGTGATTCTTTTGGACACAGATATATTACGCTTTTAATTTTTTTCAAATCGGAAAACAATATTAATATAAAATCGAATAATGGGGGTGAAAATCATCATAGCTTCAATGGGTTTTAATGGTTACTTATATAATTCGAAATTTAGATTAAAAGATTTAAAGATTTTTTTATTTTTATAAACTGCAAGGGTATATAAACTTCGGCTTGACTTTCTTATTTTTGGTGCTTTAACTATACCTATTATAAATACAAATTTTACTTTAAAACGATTTCAAGGTACGAAAAGCATTGAAGAAAGATAATGTGAGAGTTAACTATGAAAAAACCAATCGTTGATGTGAGGACTTTTATAAAAAACACATACCATCCTAAGCACTGTAGTATATATAGTATATCAAAAATAAATCATTAAAGCAGTCAAGGAGACATTTCCGACCATGTAAAGAAATATAATTGTATTCTTAACCCGCTCACCGTATGCAAGATCAGTTTAAAAGCTAGAGACTTGAAACTTTCGTAATCCTCCTTTATTGTCAGTAAGCTGATTAAGTTTGAAAATATCAATCAATTTGATGCAAATGCAAATTCGATAAATTTTAGCTAGATTTAGTTATTTTAGAAGAATTATCCGCACATCTTGTCTAATAAAATGGATCATTATCACAGAGAGAGAAAATCACCCGTTTCAAATGGTGTACAAAAATGAATAACTGAAAAGTATTTGATACAATTTTACACAACAGGCAAATAGAATTTACTCACGTGACTCTTCAAAAGAGGCGACTCTATCTCGCCGTAATGCTGCTGCCCTTGGTGCCAGCTGAGGGGGGGACTGGACACCACGGGCGTGAGGCTTGGTTCGCTGTGGTGCCTCTGACAAGAGCTGTTCGGCGAAGAACTGGGCGAGCCCTTTGGCTTGGTTAGATTCAGGGGAGCGTCCATCTCGGAGTCCTGGGCTTCGGACAGACTCGCCATGCTGTGGTTGTCCGTCGGGGAAGGTGGAAAGTTCTTGGGACACTCAGCCGTTCGACCGTGTGGCGACTCCGGAGGTGTGTTGTGGCTATAGGAGAGTATTGCATAAGATGGGTTCTCGTATGCTGGGGACTCCGGCCTTGACAAGCAAGCCCCTCCATTCCCGCCCCTTTTCATCTCCCCCATCTCCCCCATCTCCACTAGCGGGAGCGAGGCGGAGGGGTCAACGCTCGAGGGCTCATTAGCATTGGCACTGGTCGATGAAACGAGTACATTGTTGTTGCTGGAGAAACTGGTGCTGTTCTTATTGTTATTGGCAGCTGCCACTGCCGCAGCCGCCAGAGCCGCCTGTATGTGCGCAGCCGCCACGGCCGCAGTGGACCACATGGGAGCTAGGGCCATCTTGTGGGCGCCGGATGGCTCGTTTTGACTGTGACCGTGGTGGGCCACGGCCTGGGGACTCGCATGGCCGGGAATGAGCTGCAGCAGCTGTTGAGCGGGCATTGGGGGCTGCAGGAAGGCCGGAAGGAAAGGAACCAAGCTTCCGGAGGACACGGAGACTGCCTGCTGCTGGTGGTGGGGGTTCGGTGCTGTAAATCGGGCTGCCCCAAACTGGCTGCTCAGCTGGTTGTGCAACTCCTGAAGGCAGCTTTCGTGTTGCAGCCTCTGTACGTTCTGGAGGTGTTGTTGCTGTTGGGCACTTGCATCAATGTCGGTCATGCTAACGTAATGGGTCTGGAAGAAACGAAAATATGTGGTTTCTCAGTGAGTATGGATAGGTCAAATTAATTTGTCCAGAAAATCAGATTTATTAATGATCGAATTTAAAGCACAACAGCATATTTTATCCGAGAACCCATTGGTTGTCTGTGTTTTTCGATCGTATTTTCACATTTTCAAAATTCATCTATTATTGTAGAAGGTGTTGTGTCTTGACGTCACTGCATATTCGAAATATTTTTGTCATCAATGGCAACCCACCATAAGTTCTAGGGCAATTTTTTTTAAATTAATGGCGTTACTTTCTAAACTCTATGGCAAAAAGACCTTGAAGCAAGGCAAACTTTTCTAGAGCTTAGAAAAACGTGTCTCAAATGTAGGACAGCTTAGCATACATTTAAGCGACTTTTTCAGGCTGAATTTGTATTTCAGAATGTATAGATTTTGTATTATATATATTGTCTATATACCACATCACATCATACACATATACAATATAATGTATGTACACGTTTGTTTTGTTTCTGTTTGGAAATGAAAAGGCAATTTTCAACTGGAAAGCCCTGGGAAATGAAAATGGAGGACTATAATAAATAAACATAATAATCTTTAGTATCTGATATAGTATCTATCTGAAAAAAACTTTCATTTTTATTTGACTGGCGGACCGTCGGTGGGAATCGAACACGGGTCTCCCAAGCGCGACCCAAAAATTATTTAACCCTAAAAAATAGAAAAGTTTACTCACACTTAGAAATCATTTTCTAAAATGTCGTGTCCTGACCCTGAAATGAAACTAACCCTAAAAATATAAAAATTCCTCGCTCAACAAGCTTGTAGTCCAGCTTAAAATTGCCTGTTCATTTCCAAACAAAAACAATACATATACATACATTATATACATATGTGTGATGTGGCATATAGATATAGTTAGTTTTATAAGTCTTTCTAATTTTTAGAAAAACTTTCCCTAAAATATATGGTAAGCTGGCCTACATTTGAGACACGTTTTTCTGAAATGTAGAAAAGTTTTTCTTGCTTCAAGGGCTTTTTGCATTAGATTTTAGGAAGAAATGGCATTAATTTTAAAACAAAAATTCCCCTAGAATTTATTGTGGGTTGCCATTAATGTCTGTCCGTCTGCATGAACGTCGATATCACGGAAACCATAAAATTAAGAGATTTGGGATTTCAAATGCCTATACTTATATATCTTACGTAGCTCAAGTTTATTTCAAAACGGAGCCGCTCCCATTCTAACGCCCACAAATCGCGAAACATAGCCTAGTAATGCTGCAAGGGTATAAACAGTTGTTTATGAAGCTCTTAGTGATTCTGGTTCCATAAAAAACTCCAAAAAACATTAAACAAGGGAGAACGCTATAGTCGAGTTTCTTGACTATTAGATACCCGTTACTCAACCAACAAAATTCAAACTAAGTATTTCCCCTACAAAACAATCGAAGTTTAGGTGGCGCCGTCTGTCGAACTACACAGACAACACTAGAAGCTAAGTGCGTGCAGCACCCCCACCCCCGCTTACAGTTCTTTCGTTTTGTCTCTCTACTGCAGCGATTACCGGCAAGCAGCGGCAGAGCAGCGGCAGAGCAGCGGCAGAGGGTTTCAAAACAACATAACTTCTAAATCATTAGCTCGATTTTTTTTAAATATTTGTGTCTACCGATAGATATGACCGAAACACACTCACAAAGTTCAACACCTACGGTCTAACATGTCTAAGAGCGATGTTGCAGACGCGTTAAGTGTTTGGGGATATGTGGTCGTTAGAGTGGGCGTGGCTCCATTTTGAAATAAACTTGCACTGCTTAGGAAACACTAGAATCTGCGTGCCAAATTCCAAATCCCTAGCTCTTAAAGTTTCCGAGTTTCATGCAGACGGGCAGACGGTCAGACGGATTTTTGCATAATTGTGTAACATACATATTGTGTTAAGGGGGTGACGGCCCGCAAAAAGTAAAAGGGTATATTGTATTCGTTGAAAAGTATGTAACAGGTAGAAGGAAGCAAGTGTATAAAAATAGTATCGCAAATAGAGGCCGAAGATCGGCAATAACAGCTCGTGACAAAAGAGCCATGGTGACAATTGTGAAGGCTGAGTGATTACAAAGGAAAAGTGTTAGGCGTAAGTGGATGCGCTTGAAGTTGAATGAAATGGATATAAGTTCTTCTCTTAACGTTTTAAAAAAGAAAATTTATTAGCATTCGGCAAAACAAAGATCCTTTTTAAATGATTTAATTCGGACTGCTTCATCCAGGTATTTTGCCTACACAGGCATTTTTTATTTCAGCGTGACGAATGGGAACATGCAAAAAGTGTTTTTAATTAGTCGAATGCTTATTCATTTTTCTTCACAAAATTTGATATCAGATATTTTATGTTATATTATGTTATGTGTGATCGTCAGGACTTTTTTACCATGTTAAGAGGTGTTTTTGTTTGATATCAAAAGTTTTGCTTTGGTCAAAGTACCTGCATATTTTGACCATGCTATTTACAAAAAAACTTTCAACTATACTTCAGTACTAATTTTGTTTTAACAAACTACGTTTGGCAAGAAAGCTTAACTAACAAGGAAGGAAGTCAGTCTACGCTTATATACCCTTGTAAATATTAAAAAAAATACAAATGTTGTTAAACAACAATATTTCGATTTTTATGCTTTTATGTTTTACAAGCAGCTATTTGACATCGTGGTCTGATTTTAATTAATTTAGAAATAAATAAATCATTAAGTATATTCAAGTCAATTGAAAAACAGCCAAATTATAATTGTATCATATATTTTCCCGAGTGTTCCCTTGGGAGCTGTACGATATAGTCGTTCGATCCGACTCGTTTCAACTTCTACTAATAGTTTTAAAGCTGATGGACTTGTTTGCGTAGAAACGACTGGACAAACAATCGGACATGGCTAATTCGACTCTCCTAATCATGCTGTTAGGGTCGAGAATGTTTTATTAAAATACCATTTGTAAGGATATAAAAATTAACGAGAAAGTTGTCTGACATCTTACATCTTACATCTTGCTCATTTTTTTGCAAAGTATCTGATTTTAAATAAGTTTGTTTATATTAAGATAAGTTTTAAATTTAAATCAAAAGAAATAATTAATATGTTACAACTATTTAATGAAAATATTTCTTCCTTAAACCTGAAACCATTGTATTGGTTCAACTTCCTCGCCAAATTTTTTGGTGGATTCTTTAAGGTGAAAATTCTTGCTTCAGCAGCGTTAACTTCCCCAAACTGAGAAAAGTAGCCGTTTTCGTTGCTTAATAGATTTCGAAAATATTTATGAGGAATCTTAAGGACTAAAAAATTAAACAAAAATCGGCCAATTGTGTTACGGCTTCGTGATTAGCATTTGACAAAACCCTTTAATGACATAAATTTGTAGCTTTACTAGTTTAGAAGTTAAGGCCGTGAAAAGTTTAGCTATTTTAAGTGATTTCTTGCTAAATAAGCTAGTTTTTCAAAAAGGCGTAGAACAAACTTTTTCTGTAACGACGTGCCCAACACAAAATATAATTATTCCAGAATTCTAAAACAAGTCCTCAAAATTGTTTGAAACTGACAAACGACAAGGAAAACTTTTGTATTTTTTAAATATACCAAAAATGTTTTTTTTAGATAACTTTTGAACGGAGCAAGCAAATTTGGTGTCATTTGACGCGTAATTTGAACCAAATTTAAACTGTGTCAAATATGTGAAATGGGTTACCAACCCATGTTCTATAACTCCACTTAACAAAATTTTTAGTATGTCACTTTCGCCTTTCTCCTGAAACAATTAGTTTTCCTAAAGTATGCAACACCTTTCGATTGGTGTATTACTCGTTACGATCCGACCATCACAGCAGATTTTCAATTCAACGGCTATATATAGTCGTGCTATACATATATAGTCGTGCATAGTGATAAGGTATCTTCAGTAATAAACTATGTATGTATGTTACATACTCAATAGCTAAACTTACTCTTAGGCTAAGGAAGAACCACTGCTATGACTTGGTGAATACATATTTCAGCAGGATGGAGCTTTATCTCATACTGCTAACGGACTAAACCATGTAGTGGAAGGAATTAGTTAAAATACAATATATTTTTTAAAGTGATCATTCAGTTAAAAATAAGTTTCCATGTGTTATGTACATTACTATCGACAATATCGATTGCTACACATTACATACGGCTAAAAAAGCTTCCCGTACGAGTTCGTAGTGGTCGGGACTGGCACTATGCGTTGCTCAAAAAGGATTCGTGCGTGTCCGAACACGATGAAATAGAGAAAAACAAAACAGAAAAAAAAAATTGTAGAAACCAAACAAAACGTTAAAAAATGTAAATAAGTTTTAACAAGTAAAAGGTTTCATGAAAACCGAAAGTTCGAGTTTTGAAGAAAACTATTATCAATTTAAAAATACATATGTATGTTCTTAAAGCAAAGCTACTAAAATAATATAAATTTTTCAATTGTTGTTTTTCGACATGTAAAAAAAGCTATATTCGAATTAGAAGTTATCAAGCACTCGTATTATTATGGGCCACAATCAGATCAACTTAACTGGCACCGAAACACATTTTTTATTATTATTATTTTTAGCTTTCTCTCGTACTGCATGATTTTTAATTTTCTTTTTTAATATTTAGTTATATCTTCTTATCTTTTGCGATTCGGAAATAATCACTAAACATATACTGCACACTCACTTTTACTCATATTCACAAATGTTTTTATGCAAAGTCTTTCTCGCCTTGCACTCCCACACTCGCCACAGATCTTGATAAATATAGCAGGTGGCTCACCTCGCGCATCGTCAACAGTTGTGCCATTACAGCAAGTCAATCCTGTCGAGCAGTTCAACAATTTAAACAGGGAGGATGGCCCGAAAGGTCTGCGCCTGATTGGCCAGGGCAATGCGACACAATGGCAAATCGCAGCGTGACGCGTGTCCGTATCGGTATCAGCACCCGTAAACGTCACTGCCAAGC